ATGAAAATCATAACGTTTTTGAGTCAGTTTTTAAAAGCATGCAGGACCAGATACAGGCCGCCCTCCATAAATTGGATATGGCAGAGGCTCAGCTGATGGCACAGAGAAAGGATAAACCTTCCCTTTCCCCTGAGGACTGCAGGAGGGTGGAGTTAGAAGAGGAGGAGCATCATTTGCTAAATACCTTAAACACATCAGGACAAAGGCCTTCTCCACATGACGAGGTGCCCCCTGACGCCCCTCCCGCGCAGACTCCTGAGGCTTCACAGCCTCCATTGCCCTCCGGGGAGGAAACAAAAATGGCATCTCCTCCCCACACTAGAAGCAGCACCCATTTTGGCAGGAAGGATCACCCTGAGGCAGGACAGTTTCCTCTCCACCAGTTGCCAATGGGTGGCTTGAATGAACAGGGGCGACCTGCTGGGTACTTTTGGTTGCACCATCCTTTTAGCACTGGAGACCTCCTAAATTGGAAGAGCTCGGTCTCCCCATACCGGCAGGCTCCTAAGAGGATGGTGAACTTGTTTGCCTCCATCTTCGTCTCCCACTGCCCTAACTGGGCAGATATACAGTCAATGTTACATACTTTACTAAGTCTAGATGAGTGGAGGATTGTAGTCAGGAAAGCCAGGGAGGAGGCTGACCATCTCTGCCAACAGGATAGACAATCCCCAGAGCCAGAGATTGCTGTCCCAGAGGTAGATCCTGAATGGGACCCCAACAATGGAGGAATGGCGATGTTGGACCTGTATCAAAAATGTTTATTGGTAGGACTGGAGCAGGGAATCCCCAAACAAAAAAATTTTAACAAAATATTAGAACTTGCACAAGGGGCTAGTGAGGACCCATCAGAGTTCCTTGAGAGGATTATTCAGATGTATACAAACCACATGGATATTAATTCAGATGCCCCAGAAAATGCTCATTTGATCACTATGGCGTTCATCACATATAGTGCTCCAGACATAAGGAAAAAGTTAATAAAGGTGGACGGCGTCACAGAGATGAGTCCGTCCCAGGTGGTGGACTTAGCATTTAAGGTTTATAGTAATAGAGAGAACAGGAGAGAGGACAGGAGACTGAAACCTGCCACTTTTTTCATACAGAGAGCACAGGACAGGGTTTTGGGGAAACAGTAATGGACTGAGACGTGAACCCCTAGGAAGAGATTAGTGTGCTTTCTGTAGGGAAGAGGGACATTGGAAGTACAGTTGTCCCAGGTTACAGGGAAGTGGCAGATGCAGTAATTAAAGAAGGCAGGATAGAAGACTGAGGACACCACGACAGGATAATTCACCCAGGGGTTACAGGAGGGAATATAGAAGGAGAACACAGAACCGGAACCAAGGAGAGAGGAAAGAAGACAAATGTTAGCAAAGAGTAGAGGCTCAGATGATGATAGGGAATACAGACAGAGAAGGAATCAAGAGCCCAGCACAGAGGACAGGAGACAAGTGATAGCACAGAGTAGAGCCTCAGGTGAAGATAGGAGGGAATAATAGACAGAGTAGAAGGAATCTGGAGCCAAGTATGGAGGAAAGGAGACAAATAATAGTTCATGGAGAAGGTTCAGATGATAAATAGGGGTGCCTGGGGGCTCCACTAGATCTTAAGCCCATTAAAATAACCCCCTCAGAGCCCTGGGTAACCCTCACTGTCAGGGATCATCTGATTGATTTCTTGGTGGACACTGGAGCGACATACTCAGTTTTGAATTCAAAGTTAACTAAAATGAGCAAAGAGACTGTAGCAGTCACTGGGATTACGGAGAGGTCACAACAGAAAGCCTTCCTACAACCTTTGGAGTGACGGCTGGGCACCACACAGCTCCAGCACAGCTTCCTGTACATGGAAGAGTGTCCATTCCCTCTACTTGGTCGTGACCTTTTAAGTAAGCTCAATGCACGAGTTATATTCTTGCCCAAAAAGCAGAGGCTTCATCTATAGTTACCTCCAGAGCATGCTCTGCAGTTCCAGATATTACTTACTTCAAGATGCTCCACCAAAAGGTGAAATTTTACCTCCAGAAATTGTTGAAAGAGTAAGTAAATGGGTATGAGCTGATGGTACCCCAGGATATGCATGGAATGCAGAGCCTGTAAAGATGGACATGATAGAGGGGAGCAAAACCCCGAGGAGGAAACAATACCCCTTAAAGAAGGAGGCCTTGAGGGGAGTTGAGCCAGTATTGAAAGGTTCCTTCAATGTGGACTTATTCAGCCCTGCCGCTCACCGCACAACACTCCAATTCTGCCAGTGAAGAAACCCCATACAGGCGAGTACCATTTTGTCCACGATTTAAGGGCTTTTAATGACATTGTTCAGGATTTACATCCCACTGTGCCTAATCCGTACACCCTATTAACTGCCATACCTGGTGACTTTGAGTGGTTTTTGGTATTAGTCCTGAAGGATGCCTTTTTCTGTATCCCAAGAGATGTCCAAGATCAACTGCTTTTTGCCTTTGAGTGGGAAGACTCTAAGTCCAAGAGCACTCTCCAGTATTGCTGGACTGTGCTTCCACAGGGGTTTTAAGAACTCCCCAACTATTTTTGGGGAAATACTGGCCAGGGATCTCAGGAAGATTCAATTAAACCAGGGTGTCTTATTGCAATATGTAGATGATTTATTGATTGCAAGTCCAGACTACGAATCTTGTCTGGAAAATACCATAGTGGTACTGAACCACCTGGCAGAATGTGGCTACAAGATGTCATCTAACAAGGCACATATATCTAAACAAACGGTGACATACTTGGGGGTTAAAATTAAGAAAGGCAGATGGAGCCTGATGACAGAAAGAAAACAGGTAATTTCAGCCCTTAGAGTCCCCAGCAACAGGCGACAGTTGCGCGGATTTTGGGGTATGGCTGGGTTTTGCAGGATTTGGATTCCTAATATTGGATTACTACCAAAACCCTTGTATGATGCTCTCAAAGGCCTGGACTCTGAACCTTTGTCTTGGACTCCGGAATGTCAAAAGGCCTTTGATGAGATAAAAGTAAAGTTGATCTCAGCACCAGAATTAGGGCTTCCAGATCTTAGGAAGCCATTCAGACTTTATGTACATTAGAGACAGGGGTTGGCCTAGGAGTGCTAATCCAATTGTTGGGGCCATTTCCCCTAACACTGTCAGAATGGAGTTGGGGGGTGTCTGAACCTGGTACATGGCTATGTGCACCAACCTGGAAGTTCTCCAAATCCCATGATATTGACATTTTATGGAGGTTTCCTCACACATGGGCCATCTACTCTGAGTTCCATTCTTAGCCTCTCCCCCTTTTCTGTAGAATGGAGAGATGTAGGTAGGACTGAAAATACCAGGCCTGTCATCATGGCTTTGTCTCTCTGGTGACTGGGATGCATCGAAAGCAGTGCTTAGAAGAAAATATTTTACATTGTATGTACAATAGCTATTAGAAAAGAATAAAAATTTAAAATCACTATGCTAAGCTTCAATTAGGAAATGAAGAGAATGTTAGATCCAAAAAAGCAAAGAAATAATGAAAGTTAGAGCAGATGTCAATGAAATTGAAGACAGGAAATCTTTCACTTACAGGTGGAGCATGGGAAAACCAAACAAAGGGTCAAGAAAAACAGAACTCACAAGCTGACCATAGACTTGAAGCAAACAGCAGGGGAGGAGGAGGGAGAGTGGTCAAAAAAGGGAGGGAAGAGCACAGGGAGTGTGGTGATGTGCACGGGTGCTGTGGTGGTGGGAGAACTACGGGGACGACACCTGAAGGGAGAATGGTGATGTAAGAAAATAAATTATATAAAAAAAGAAAGTAGGAAATTGATAGACAAAACAGTGAAAATCATAAAATCTGGTTCTTTGAAAAGATGAACAAAACTGATAAGCCAGACTGAAAAAAAGAGGGAAGACACAAATCACTATTATCAGAATAAAATAGGGTTATGAAGAATCAACCTATAGACTTTCAGAGGATAAAAAAAAGGAGCAATATGAGTAACAGTGCTCACGGAATTGACCAACGGGGTGAAATGGATCAATTCTTTGAAAGACACACTCTACCACTCTACCAAGCCTTAACATGAGAGGAAATAGATAACCTGAATAGGCTCATTAAGAATTAATGACTTTTCAAAAGAGAATGCCCCTAGATGGACCAGATGAATTCACCAAATAATTCAGGAAGAAAAATGTACCAATCACCTGCAACATCTTTCTGAGAGTAGAAGCAGAGGCACGACTTCCTAATATGTACTATAAGGACAGTATTAGCAGATAACAATATCAGAAAAAAAGGTATTACAAGAATGAAAATTATAAACCTTTATCTCTCATGAACAAAATGTTAGCAAATCAATGCAACAATGCATAAAAGAATCACACCCTATCACCAAATGGGTTTTATATCTGATATGCAAGCTGGTTACACATTTGAAAATCAGCTAATGTCCTTTATCACATTATCAAATTAAAGAAGCAAAATCCATGGTTACTACATGTGATGTTATAGATGGTGAAAAAGCTTTTGATAAAATCCAGCACCCACTCATGAAAAAGTCTAACAAACTAGGAGTAAAAGAGTACAGTGCTAAAATTGATAAAGTACTTTTGCAAAACCCTACAGCTAGCATTATTCTCAATAGTGAGAAACTAGAAGATTTCTCTCCCAAACAAACAAGACTATCCAGCATCCCTCTGGAAGTGCTAGCTAATGGTTTAAGACTAGAAAAGAAAAGAAAAAAATACACAGATCGGGGAAGAAGAAATAAAATTGTCATTGTTTGCAGATGACATGATTTCCTGTCGGGGCCCAGACCTGGGGCCCAGACCTGAACATCCAGGTTCTTGCCTGAAGCAGGTACTGAATGTTAGCTCCAGTGAAGGTTTCAAGTTTCCTATGGTGACTGAACCCTTCCCCTGCTTGCTCCTTGTGGCTTGTTTGCATTGGTGGTCTCTCCTTGTTCGAGATAACGAGAGACCTCCTCCTCTGAACCCTATATAACCTTGTACACATTTCTGAATAAATGAGACTGGCGATGATCCTGGCTTTGTCTCCACTCCTCACGTACCCCTGTCCTATACCAAGCCCCTGCTTCCTTCCCCGGGTACTGCGTTGATCTGCCAGGCTGGCCCGGACATTTGTAGCCCAGCGTGGGGCCCGGGTACGAGGAAGAACTACAGAGGGAGAAGACGCCCGAAAAAGAAGCTATAGCTCAGGAGGAAGCCTTACCGACGTGGGACCCTGCTGCGTCGTGGATAAGGTAAGCTCAGGTACAGCGTCTGAATCATGGGACAGGAATTAAGGCAGCATGAAATATATGTGAAGCAATTAAAAGAGGCACTCAGGACGCGAGGAGTCAGGGTCACAAAAAAGGATCTACTCCACTTTTTTGATTTTGTTCAAGACCTGTGTCCTTGGTTCCCTCAAGAGGGCACAATAGATCAAAAAAGGTGGAAACGGGTAGGAGATGCTTTCAATGACTTCTATGAAGCCTTTGGCCCCGAAAAAATTCCGGTGACAGCATTCTCATACTGGAATCTAATTAATGATTTAATTTCAAAAAAGGAAGCCTACCCTGATATTAAAGACACCATTTGCCAAACAGAACAACTGCTTAGAAGTGCTTCCCCCAGCACGGCAGGGGCCCCATCCCCCAACGATCGCTGTGAGGACTTAATTTCCTTTCACAGTGATGCGGAGGACAATCCATCCAAAGAAGAACAAAAAGAACCCTTAGGGGAAAATGAAAGGGCCTCTCCCGACCGCCCCAAAATAGAAAAGAAAAACAGAATATATCCTTCTTTAAGCATGTTTACCTGTGGCTACAAACCCTCCTTGCTCATCTGAAGAAGAGGGCAGAGTGGTTCCACTGCTTAACTCCAGTAACGACACGTAAGTTGCTTTGCAACTCGCTCCGCAACTTCTCCCCCCTCCCGCTAAAGGGGAGGATCCTGAGGCAGGCGAAGCAGATTGGAGCAACCTCGAGGAGGAGGCTGCCCGTTACGATCCCCACTCTCCTCCTTATTACACGGCCGCTGTTGCCTCTGCGCCCTCACAACTCGCTGACCCTAATCTCTACCTTAAAACCAAAATCGCCCACCTGGAGGAGCGCATGCGCCTACAGGCTCGTTGTCATAATCTTTCCCTTCAGCTTCAATAGATCCAATTAACTTCTTCATCCAAATCAGATCCCGCTCCGCCATTACAGGGGAGGGGTGACGCCGAGGCCACTTCAAAGCCGCCGTTAAGGGGCGGGCTTGAAGCTGACGTCACCTTAAAGCCGCCATTATGGGGCGGGGTTAGCGCCGACGCCATTTTATCTCCTCCCCCCACGGCTCCCGCCGCTTTGTCTGCTTTCCCGCCTCCCAAAAAGCCCTTTTCCGCGGCTTCTGTCATTCCTGTTATTGAAGCTCCAGATGTTCAAGGCCACCTCCACCGCTATCACCAGCCACATAATTTTCAACATTTAAAGGAATTAAAAACCGCTGTTACCCAATATGGTGCTAGTGCCCCTTTCACTCTCACAATTCTTGATTCTATCGCAGAAGGGTGGCTCACTCCCCTAGAATGGCAAACCTTAGTAAAGGCTGCCCTTGACGGCAGAGATCATTTACTTTGGAGAACTGAATTTCAGGATCTCTGTAGGGACCTGGCCCGAGAAAATAAACGGGCTGGAAACCCATGGACTTTTGAAATGCTCACAGGCTCCGGGGATTTTCCTAAGTCGGAGGCTCTACTTGTGGCCGATCCTGGCCTTTTTGCTCAGATCTCTTCTGCAGCCACCAGAGCATGGCGCAAACTTCCTGCCAAAAACAATACTGGAATCCCACTGATTAAAATAAGACAGGGTACTGGGGAGTCCTTCTCTGATTTTGTTGACCATCTGCAGATTGCTGCAGAGCGCTCCCTAGGCTCCACCGCTGCCACTGCTGACTTAGTGAAGCAGTTGGCTTTTGAAAATGCCACTCCGGCTTGCCAAGCGGCTATCAGGCCCATAAAAAAGAGATGTTTCTGACTACATCCGCATTTGTGCCGACATTGACCCTTCATATCAACAGGGTTTGGCCATGGCGGCAGCGTTTAGCGGTCAGACTGTGGCTAATTATATTAAATCAAAAGCGGAACGCTCATGGGGTTGTTATAAGTGTGGCAAACCTGGCCATTTTTCAAAGGCTTGCCCTTTGAACCCCGCACAAGCCCAGCAAAGAGTCCCTGGGCTGTGCCCCTGCTGTAAGCGCGGCAAACACTGGGCACGAGAGTGTAAGTCAAAGATAGACATTCAGAGACAACAATTCCCGGCCCAGTCGGGAAACGGGAAGAGGGGCCAGCCCCAGGCCCCAAAACAAGCTCTTGGGGCAATCCCCTTTGTTCCAGCGACACCCACAAATCCTTTTCAAAACTCTGCAGAGCAACACCAGGAAGTGCAGGATTGGACCTCTGTGCCACCTCCTATGCAATATTGACCCCTGACATGGGGCCCCAGGTCTTAAGGACAGGGGTTCGTGGCCCTGTATCACAGGGTATGTTTGGCCTTATCATTGGCAGAGGCAGTGTGGCCTTACACGGTCTTAAGATTTTCCCGGGTGTTGTTGATAATGACTTTAAAGGTGAAATAGGAGTTATCGCTGAGTCAAAAAAACGTTCTTTCTATCGCTAAAGGTCAAAACATTGCTCAGCTAGTGCTGTTCCCCTTGGTGCCCACAGATCATGTCAGCCTCTCCCCCTTTAGAGGGAATAAAAATTTTGGCTCCTCGGACACTTTTTGGGTTCAGCCCATTACTGCTAACAAACCCTCACTTACCCTTATGTTAGATAATAAGCCTTTTACAGGAATAATTGACACAGGAGCAGATGTCACCATCATTAGGCAGGAAGACTGGCCATCTACCTGGCCAACTGTTGCCACCATAACCAACCTTCGGGGTATAGGCCAAAGTCATAACCCTTGCCAAAGCTCAAAATATCTTTCTTGGAAGGATCCCGAGGGCAATTCTGTTCTTTAAAGCCTTTTGTTCTTCCACACTTACCAGTCAACTTGTGGGGAAGGGACTTGCTTTCTCAGTTGGGGATGGTTATGTGCAGCCCTAACGACATTGTCACTGCCCAAATGCTCAATCAAGGTTTTGTCCCAGGACATGGATTAAGGAAAATGGGCCAAGGTATTCGACAGCCCCTCCCTGCCACTGGACAACAAGACAGGAAGGGACTAGGAAATTTTTAGTGGGTGCCACAGACAAGCCTGCACCCTTTAGACATGCCGATCCCATTGTTTGGCAGTCGGAAGACCCTGTCTGGGTTGATCAGTGGCCCCTATCTTATGAAAAGTTACTTGCAGCCTACCGGTTAGTGCAGGAACAAGTGGAGGTGGGTCATGTCGTGCCCAGTTCTTCTCCCTGGAATACACCTATTTTTGTTATTAAAAAACAGTCAGGGGCATGGCGACTCCTCCAAGATTTAAGAGCTGTCAATGCAACCATGGTTCTCATGGGGGCTCTTCAACCGGGCCTCCCTTCCCCGGTTGCCATCCCAAACTGTTTCTACAGGGCGGTGATCGACCTCAAAGATTGTTTCTTCACCATCCCTCTCCATCCTGAGGACTAAAAAAGGTTTGCATTTAGTCTTCCTTCAATTAATTTCAGAGAACCATTGCAACGGTTCCATTGGACAGTTTTGCCCCAGGGCATGGCTAACAGCCCTACTCTATGTCAAAAGTTTGTGGCACAGGTTCTTCAGCCTATTCGTGATTCTTGGACCCAAATGTACATAGTCCATTACATGGACAACATCCTTGTGGCTGGTGCCGATGGCCAGTCGGTTCTGCAATGCCTAACCCAACTGCAGGATCATTTGACAGCTGCAGGACTACAAATCTCTCCTCATAAGGTCCAGCTTCAGGACCTGTTTACCTATCTAGGTTTCCAACTTTCCAGGCCCATGATTACTGTCCGCAAGGTGGTTATCCGCAAAGATCACCTTAAGACTCTTAATGATTTTCAGAAACTTTTGGGTGACATCAATTGGCTGCGGCCATATCTAAAACTTACTACAGGTGACCTCAAGCCCTTATTTGATGTTTTACAAGGGGACTCTGACCCAAAATCCTGTAGGGCCCTCACCCCTGCAGCAGATCGGGCATTACAATTGGTGGAACAGGCCATAGCTGATCATTTTGTCTCAAGCATTGATTATTCTCAACCTTTTGTGTTGCTGATATTCAACACTACCTTTTCGCCCACTGGATTTTTTTGGCAAGACAACCCAATTCTCTGGGTTCATCTACCCTCTTCCCCTAAAAAGGTTCTCCTTCCATATTTTGATGCCATGGCAGATCTCATCATTCAAGCTAGAGAGAGCAGCCGCAGGTACTTTGGGAGGGAGCCTTCCTCGATTGTTCAGCCATACTCCCGTGCTCAGGTGAATTGGCTCTTACAAAACTCAGACTCCTGGCTCATCGCATGCGCTTCCTTTTCAGGCGAAATTGACAATCATTACCCTCCCAATAAGCTCCTGCAATTTTGCAAGTTGCATGACTTCATTTATCCCCACCTGGTTCATAATGAACCCCTCAGTGATGCGCTACTCATCTTCACTGATGGATCTTCTACAGGCCAAGCTGCCTATGTCTGTGAGGGTAAGGTCACACGCTTGAGCACCCCCTTCTCTTCTGCCCAACTGGTGGAATTGCAGGCCATTATCACGGTGTTGTCCACATTTCCAGATAAATTACTTAATATTTACACTGATAGCGCCTATTTGGCGAACTCTATTCCCCTGCTTGAAACAGTCTCCTATATCAAACCAGTTTCTTCAGCTGCACAACTGTTCTTGACCTGCCAACAACTTATTCAAAAAAGGTCGGTTTTTCTGGCCCATATCCACGCTCACTCGGGTCTGCCTGGTCCCCTGGCAAAAGGAAACCTGTTGGCAGATGAAGCCACACGGACGGTAGCCACAGTCCTGACTTGTAATTTCAGCAAGCCCAGGCTGCTCATGAGCTTCACCACCTCAACTCTCACTCATTGCGACTTTTATTTAAAATTACTCGTGACCAAGCCAGACAAATTGTAAAAGCCTGCTCCACCTGCGCGACAGGCCTTCCTATGCCCCATCTTGGTGTTAATCCCAGGGTCCTTGTCCCTAACGCCCTCTGGCAGATGGATGTAACCCATAATTCTCAATTTGGTAATCTTAAGTATATCCACGTTATTGTGGATACTTTTAGTGGGTTTCTCCTTGCCACCCTTCAAACAGGTGAAACCTCTAGACATGTTATTGCACACCTGCTCTACTGTTTCTCCATTTTGGGGATCCCAAAACGTATTAAAACTGATAATGGCCCATGCTACACTGCAAAAGCCTTCAAGAATTTTTGCTCTACCCTGTCCATTCACCACGCCACGGGCATCCCTTATAATCCTCAAGGACAAGGCATAGTTGAGCGTGCCCATCTTTCGTTAAAAACCACCACCCAAAAGATTTTACATGGTTCCTGGTACCCCTCTAAAGGTAACCCCCGCAACACGCTAAACCATGCTCTGTTCATCCTCAATTTCTTGAGGCTTGACGCTCTGGCGAAAAGTGCGGCTGATCGTTTCTGGCATACGGAAACGCAAAATCAATTAGCAATGGTAAAATGGAAGGACCCTTTGGACAATGCTTGGTACGGCCCTGACCCAGTTCTGATCTGGGGAAGGGGATCTGTATGTGTCTTCTCACAGACTCATGATGCAGCCTGATGGTTGCCTGAACGGCTTGTCAGACAAATTGATCACAAGCACCAACCCAGGGACACTCAACCTCCCTGAGGTATCTTTTATTTTTGATTTGTTACAGCATGGTGACCGCTTCCTGGCTCATCCTCTGTGCTGAGGTGTTACTTTTCTCCTCGGCCTTCGCCGGCTTTGGAGACACAGGCCAACTGATGTCCTTGACTGAAGCACTGTACGGTAAACCTTGTGATTGTAAAGGGGGTTACATGAAAATGTCGCCCACCAGCTATACCTCTCAGGTGACCTGTACTGGTGCCATTGCCTACTTGGTAACCGCTTGCTATGGGCCCACAAGCCGTCAGGCCTGTTACAAGTGCCTGAAAACCTCCGTGAACCTCTCTCCGGGCGGGCGGTGCCCCTGCACCAGTTTTCTTTCTTCAGTCTGAGACAGGGCAAGCTAGGGTTATTAGGCAGTTTTAGGGATAGTGCAGGAGGGGACCTCTGAAAATTCAGGAAGGCTTCAGAGATAAGGACGAGCAAGGAAATGAAACCAATTCCACTGGGAAAAACAAACATCCTAGCACCACAGATAATCTTGTTAAGGATGGTCCTGGTTTTCTTCAGATGATAAGATAAAGTGTAAAGATGCTCACCGGGAGGGCTAGACCATAAAGATAAAGATATAACAAATGGGGAAAGACAGACCTGTTAGATAAGGAATGTGAAGATCTCCCACTCAGTAGCAAATTAAGTAAAACAGCCAAAAACTGACCAATCACAAAGAGACTGGTAGAGCTTTAGAATAATCAGGGAAAGAAAGTATATATTCCCTGAGATACGACTTCACTTTGGCTTCCTTGCCCCTCCCAGGCCTGGTTCCCTGGCCTGGGAGTCCCACTTTATTTCTGTTCTTTTTTCTCTTCAATAAACTTTTTCTTCTAAACAAACCTGCGCTTCTCGCTTGCTTGCCTGAGCGTCTGCGAAGTTCCTGCTGCGGCTTCGTGAGACACCAACCCGTGGGGGGGTCTAGCGGCTGGGGCTCAGCACTGCCCTGCAGCCTGAAATCCCATCCTGGCTGGGAGACTAGGCCTGACAATTCCAGCATCAAGTCCACTCCTTGTGTTACAAGACTTTTTCTCAATGCACGGCCAATTATAATAATAATGTTATAGGACAGGGAGAGGGGCAGCCCAAGCCCCGCAAACCTGCCTATTCTAAATGGGTTCTGCCATCCTCCGCATCAACACAAAACATAGGAGACTTTAATGAAAAGGAACTTTAATAAAACTAGGAAACAATACAGGTAAGGCAAAGAATCTAGTTTCTAAATCAAGCACCCAAAGTTACCCATCCCCTCGTGGGTAAAAGTCCATCCAAATGGGATTGGCCCAGAGCAAGGCCCCAAGGCCTGCCACAAGTCTAAAGCATCTTCCAGTGGGGACCCACAGAAAAGGGTCACAAACAACCGGACAAGCCCGGAAGGAAAAGAGCAAAATCAACATCAAGATAAAAGCTGCCATTGTCACCTCCCCATGGGTCTCACCCACATCCGTGTCACCTAGTCCACGACCAAAAGACAAGCGCAGTTTCTTCACGTGTCTCTAGGCTCCATGCGCCTCCTCCAGGTCTCCTGGCTCCATCCTGCTTCCTTCCTCAGTCTCTTCTGCAGCTTCTCCTCTTCCTGCTCAGCTCCACCCTCCCTTGGGAGGGGCAGGGAACCTCCCCCTTTCCTGGGGACCACCCTGTTACAATAAGACTTATTATACTGCTGTTCTTATCAGGAAATCCCCTGCAAGTCGGCCACTGGCCTCTACCTTGCTGACCACCTGTGGTGCTAACAAAAAGGAGAAATGCTGTTTCTACGCCAACAAATCAGGAATCGTCCACAATAAAATCCGACAGTTACAAGATGACCTGGAAAGAAGACACCAGGACCTAGCTGAAAACCCACTCTGGACCGGTCTCAACGGACTCTTACCCTACCTTCTTGCCCTCATGGGTCCCCTATTAACCCTTTTGATATTGGTTGTCATGGGTCCTTGCATTTTTAACAGGATAATCTCTTTTGTAAGACAACAGATTCAGGCCCTTCAGGCAAAACCCATTCAGGTACATTACCATAAGTTGGAGATGCGAGATAAGGGAGGCTCTTACTCAGACATATGCTCAGTCTGAAGAAATAAGACCCCCTTCCCCTGTGCGATGGACTGGTCAGCCAATGACGGGTAAGATCGGGGGCATACTCAAAATGGCTTGAGGTGACAGGCGCATTCCCCGAGGGGTTTTGTCTTTTCGCTCTCCCATCAGAAATAATACAAAAGGAGGATCTGTCTGGGCCCAGACCTGGGGCCCAGACCTGAACATCCAGGTTCTTGCCTGAAGCAGGTACTGAATGTTAGCTCCAGTGAAGGTTTCAAGTTTCCTATTGTGACTGAACCCTTCCCCCTGCTTGCTCCTTGTGGCTTGTTTGCATTGGTGGTCTTGTTGTAGAGCAACCCTGATACAAAACGGGGTGCCTGACTGTGGGTCCTCACCCGCGCGCTTAAAAGGACTTATCAATGCTCTACTGCAGGCACACGTGAAAGGTTAATAAAAGGTTTATTTACAAGGGAAGGGGAAATGAGGAAATGTACAGCTCTGGGAGAAAAGTGGGAGACAAAGTTTTAAATGAGTCCTACCCGATCCACCGATCAGGAATCCCAAAATGGCGCTCTCAGAGTTGGCCGCCAGCCAGGAGCGATGAGGCCAGGAGGCGAGCGATCGCGAGCCAGCGAGACCCCAAGGCCCACGTGTTTGGTTTTTATATCCAACCTGGCTGCCCAACTCCACCCTCAGGTCCCAGCCACCCTCCCTTTGGTGGTGATGGGATTTGTCTTTCCCAATGTCTTGATGGCTATAGTCTGGAGTGGGGGTGGGGTCCACAAAGCCTGTATGGGATTAGCTCAGGACATCATTTCCCCCTAACAGTCTCTCCTTGTTAGAGATAACAAGAGACCTCCTCCTCTGAACCCTATATAACCTTGTACACATTCCTGAATAAATGAGACTGGCAATGATCCTGGCTTTGTCTCCACTCCTTGCGTACCCCTGTCCTATACCAAGCCCCTGCTTCCTCCCCCGGGTACCACGTTGATCTGCCCGGCTGGCCCAGACAATTTCCTATTTATAAATTCCCAAATTGTCAACAACAGCAAAAGCCCCAGACTGATAAGTGATTAAACAAGTTCATAGGACAGAAGGATTAATATAAAAAAGCCAATTGTTTTTCTATCCATTAGTAACGAATAAGTGGAATGAGAACTAAAAATACAGTGCCATTTACATTAGCGTCTCTCAAAATAAAATACTTAGGTAAAAACTGACGTTATATGTACTAAATCTATGTGAGGAAAAACTGGAAGACTGTTGAAAGAAATTAAAGAACTAAATAAAAGGAGACAATTCATGTTCATCAATGGGAGGATCAATGCTTTCACTATATCAGCTCTCAACTTTTCACTGTAGATTCAATGAATCACAAAATTTCAGGAAGTTATTTTGTGGATATTGACAAAGCAAGTCTATTTTTATATGGAGAAGCCAAAACCTAGAACAAAATTGTAGGACTGATACACAAAATTGAAGAACAAAATTGTAGGGCTGATATACCCGACTTCTATATTTAATGTAAAGAAAGAGTAATCAACAAGTGTGCTTTCACAAAAACGTGGAGTAAATGGACTAGAGCCCAGAAATAGATCTACATAAATATTGTCCCTTGACCTTTGACAAAGGAGCAAAAGCAAAACAATGGTGCCAAGATAATATTTGCATGAAATGGTGCTGGAACAACTGGAATCCACATACAAATAAAAATGTATCTGGATACAGCTATTATGCTCTTCAAAATAAATTAAAATGATATACTTAGGGCCTCCCTAGTGGCCCAGATTCAGCGCTCTCACTGCTAAGGCTTGAATTCGAGCGAACCCACATGGCACAGCAGACCTCTCCCTTCTGTCTCACCCGCTGCTCCCCTCAGCAGTATATGTCAGTGAATCTTCCTGTTCTGCTCCCCATTCTGTCTTTTGTGGATCCTCTCATCCCTCACACCTCTGGTCTGCACCCCAGTTCTTCTATGCATAAACAAATAAACAAATCTTTAAAAATATAAAATAAAATGATACACCTATATGAAAACTGCAAAATTATAAAACTCTTAGAAACAAAACAGTAGAAAATGTAGATGACTCTAGGTATGCTAATGGTTTTTCAGATATGATACCAAGGACATGATCTATGAAAGAAAGAATAGATAAACTGGATTTCATTGACTATAATATAAATACATAAAGTTTCTGCTTTGTAAATAAAAAGACAAACCATAGGTTGGAAGAAAATATTTGCAAAAGACACATTGACGAAGGATCATTATCCATAATAGCTGCAGAACTCTTAAAACTCAACAACAATAAAAAATAGCCCTATTAAAAGTAGGACTCGGGCCTGCCTGTGACTATGTAAGTACCATTCTTTTTCTTTCTCCTTTGCCTAGCCAGTCCTTTTAAAATGTAAATAAAAAAAAAGGGTCTCGTATATTCCATCTGTCTACCTAGGTGTTTGTTTCAGTCTTTGACACTTTTATATATATGTGTTTGTGTGTGTATATATATTTACATAATTATAATGTATTATAAATATGTATCAATAATATATTTATGTAGATATAAATATATACATATAATGTAATTAGTACAATTTATATTTACATAAATAAAAGTAACAAATATATATTTATATGTGGTAGAGATGTTCCACCCCTTATATTATTAAATAAATTAAGTAACTTAAAACAACACAACACTGATTTACACTTGTACACCTAGTACAATGGTCAAAATCAAGATCACTAACAACAAATGCTGACAAGGATGTGGAAAAACAGGAACTCTCATTCTTGCTGGTGAATGAGATGAAATGAAAACTGTTGCAGTCATTTTGGAAGACAGTTTGGTTGTTTGTTATAAAACTAAACATACTTTTCTATAATTCAGCAGTTGTGCTCCTTGATTTTACCCTAATGATATGCAAACTTATGTGCTCACAAAAACATATACATGGATGTCTCTGGCAGTTTTATTCATAATTTCAAAACTGGAAGTAAGTAATATGTCTTTCAGTAGGTGAATGGATAAATAAACTATGATTCATCTAGACAATGGAATGTTACTCAGTTCCAAAAAGTAATGTAAAGACATGGCAGAAACTTAACTACTTCTTAAATATTACTAAGAGTAAAGAGCTAGACTGAAATCTATATGGGAAGGTCCATTCAAAAGAAAGCACATTTTGAAGAATTACTCGGTGAAATTTTTAATCTCCAACTACTTTACGAAGACTCAGTCTGCCTTTTTAGTACCCGATAAAATAAGCCGACAACAATAGCAACAAAGTCAGTAAATATTGCTTCAACAATAGGGCTAAAACATATTTAATGTCCACATTTAGAACACTGCTTACGACATGGTTGTCATTGTGTCTGGAATGATTTAAAGAAAACCTGAGGCTGGCCACAAGGGAACAGAGCATTTGGGCAGGGGCAGCCAAGTGTTTGGGGATTATTGGTGGATAATTAAGGCGAAGGGAGGAGGAGATGCTGAAGGTGTAAGGTGAGGGCATGAAGACATGCCCTTGGAGAGCCTGTCAAGGGGTCAGCCTAAGACAGAACCGACTTCACTAGTCACAACTCTCCTCAGGGTTGGATCAAAATAAGATGATTCAAGTTGCCCTCATCTCCTGCTTTCTAAACTTCTTCATCCCTTTGTTTTCTCAAGACACTTACCCTATTCAGTATTTTCAGCACTTGAGGTTTCAAGTAGTTATTTTTGATTTCTGCCTTTAACTCCTTACAGACAGCTATCACAACTTCGTCTCGTATCCAATTTAAACACATTTGTCACTGGCTGTGTGCCAGGTGCTCTTGTGGAAAATGGATTACAGGCATGAATAGGATATGGTCAGGGAGGGTCCTGCATCAGTCTAGGAGCAGGGAAAAGCATAAGCGTATTTTAGAAGTAGGGAGAGACAAAGTTGTGACTGGAGCTGCTCTGAGTCTCAGATGACTTAACTTTCGGGTTCTGCAGAAAATAGGGAAGCTCTACCCACCTTCCTGGAATCATGCTCTTTCCTTTATCCTTTCTTTCATTTCTGTCATCAATCTTGCTCTGCTGGTTGTTTCATACCAACCTCTAAACATGCTCAGGTGCACCATTCTAAATGCAGTCTGGTTTCTGTGTCCTTGGGCTCCCAAACCCCTTTATTCTTTGCTCTACAATAATTCTAACAAGGGGTCCTTTCACATCCATTCTTTTCCAAATATTTACCTCATGCTTTTCCTTAGAATCCAAACCCTGACACCTTCCTTTATTTTCATGGCATTTCTAGACTCTAAATATTACACTGCATAAGGCTTTCCCCACTTTCTCTGTTAGAGGCTCTGTACCCCAGACCTAGCTCTAGTTTCTCCTCATTTGTGAAGCTAGTACCTCTCTTTTCTGTGCTTATAATGGCACCCATTATGTATTGTGAATCATAATAACAATTTTAAGCTTTTCCTCAGGTTTTAACTCCTGGATAACAGTGATGGTTAAAGAAATCCATGTACCCTGGTATGCTGTAAAAGACTGCTGCTGCATGAACCACACTTTCTCATGAGACTTAGATGAAATTCTGCACAAGGGGCTCTGCACATTCAGCATACAACTGTCCTTAAAGAGCCCTCCTGTGACCAGCAGGTCTCTGGGAAAAAATTCCCTGATGATTCTGCTCCCTCCCTAACCTGTTTTCTGAGCTGTTGGACCTTCCCCAGAAGAGTAAATTCCTTTCTGTCTGGCCTTGAAGAAGTTTGCAGCTCTGTGGTGAGTTTGTTATAGGACAGGGAGAGGGGCAGCCCAAACCCCGCAAACCTGCCTATTCTAAATGGGTTCTGCCATCCGCCGCATCAACACAAAACATAGGAGACTTTAATGGGAAGGAACTTTAATAGAACTAGGAAACAATACAGGTAAGGCAAAGAGTCTAGTTTCTAAATGAAGCACCCAAAGTTACCCGTCCCCTCGTGGGTAAAAGTCCATCCATATGGGAATGGCGCAGAGCAAGGCCCCAAGGCCTGCCACAAGTCTAAAGCATCTTCCAGTGGGGACCCACAGAAAAGGGTCACAAACAACCGGACAAGCCCGGAAGGAAAAGAGCAAAATCAACATCAAGATAAAAGCTGCCATTGTCACCTCCCCACAGGTCTCACCCACGTCTGCGTCACCCAGTCCACAACCCAAAGACAAGCGCAGTTTCTTCACGTGTCTCTAGGCTCCATGCGCCTCCTCCAGGTCTCCTGGCTCCATCCTGCTTCCTTCCTTCCTCAGTCTCTTCTGCAGCTTCTCCTCTTCCTGCTCAGCTCCACCCTCCCTTGGGTGGGGCAGGGAACCTCCCCCTTTCCTGGGGACCACCCTGTTACAAGTTGTTTCCCCTATTGAATAATCTCCCCTTACTGCAGTAATGCTTTCAAATACAGTTTTTATTTTTAACCTGTCCCTATGTTTTGTTTATCTGTCTGGGTAGATATGTGCACCTTTCCTCCCAGATTTGGAAATGGGTTTTGGAACAATGATAATTAGAGTCACGCTTGCGTTCTAGCATGTCCTGCCCTGCCTGTGTCTCTCTTGCTCCCATGATGGTTTCCATCAGTTTGTTGCTATGTCGATCTCAGAGTCTGCTGTTGTAGCTCCCTGTCTACCTGGTCTCCCTCCTTCCTCACCTACCTGTCTCCTGGACAGCAAACTCCAGACTTCAGCTTGATCCAGAGAGAGCTGCTGTAGAGTAGATTCTGTCAGAGTGCGGAGTCTGACAGGCTTCTGACTCATGTGGGAGGCACAGACTTTGATTTCCTGTGAAAGAGGAACTGAGCTCATCCTCTGGGCAGGAAGTGGTTTCACTATTGGGTTTTTTTTTGTTTTTTTTTTGTTTTTTTTGGAACTGATCTAAAGGAATTGTGTTAGTCTGCTTATTTTATTGTGATTTCTGAGTTTTAATATATCACAATTTGAAGACTAATATTGGGGTGTCTGTGTGTGTGTGTGTGTGCA